CCTAGTCATGAATCAAAATCAACAAAAACCCAAATCTCTAGCCATTTTTACATAAAAAATAAAAATCCAATTTATCATTCTAGATTTACCTATATTCATGTAGTTAAGTAAAAAAAATTGATGAAACACTTATATCCCACAACTTTATCGGCACACACACAATACAAACTCTACCAAAAAAACTAACAAAAAGACAACAACCTTAACAAAAAGCCAACAAAAATACATCGTAAACAAAACCCTACCAATAAACCTTTTTTTGATTTTTTTTTTATGTTCGCAAACATCAAACAAGTAATTTTCTAAACATATTATTCAATAAATTAAAAAAAATCATAATCAAATCTTCAAATAGTCATATAAAACATCAAATATTCAATAAATTAGGGTTCTTTGATCGTTACTTGGAGTAAAATTTCTAAAAGCAGATTCTTTGTAGTCTCAATCGATTGTTACTAATTCGATTTGGAAATCCTTTCAAACCCTAACCCATGTGTATCTCTCTCTCTCTCTCTCTCAAAATTGTAATCAAGCAACTGAAGGGACTGTAGTATGTAAGCACTATAAATATCTAAGGGTATTTTAGTCTTTTCAATAATTTCGTCATGTCCCATCACTTTTGCACATCACTCAAAATCACAGGAGATTTATGAGTACATTTATAAATGTCAGAGAGGTAATGTGTAAATGTGCAAAACCACAAAGGGTAAAATGTAATTATTCCAAAAAATAAATAGTAATTGCAATGATAATATCATCTTATATAATATCATCAATCACTAAAAAGAAAAAAAGAAATTAAATAGATAACTATTGTCTTCTACTAATCCCACTACCATAATATGATAGCTCTTATTAATGAATGATATTATCATTATCATTATATTTAATACTTACTTGTGTTGAACGTATACAGATATATAGATAATTATATATATATATATATACATATTGTTTCTGAATATAATTACTAAAAGGAAAAAAAGAAATTAAATAGACAACTATTGTCTTCTACTAATCCCACTACCATAATATGATAGCTCTTTTTTTTTTTTTTTTTTATCATTATCATTATATTTAATACTTACTTGTGTTGAACGTATACAGATATATAGATAATTATATATATATATATATATACATATTGTTTCTGAATATAATTACTAAAAGGAAAAAAAGAAATTAAATAGACAACTATTGTCTTCTACTAATCCCACTACCATAATATGATAGCTCTTTTTTTTTTTTTGATCGGCAAAAAAGATACTTTATTGATGGAATAAAACAAGTACAAGGTACAAGACAGATTACATTAATAAAGAAAAGGGAAATGCAAAAGCATCACAATGAGCTAAATGATCCCAACTAGGTTGGCACCACAAAGTTCATCCTATCATTTGCTAGCACCCCAAAGTTGGTGAGGGACCAATGCGGACACACCATAGAGCACCAAAACAGACCAAAAAACAGAATTGAAGCACAGCCCAGACTCGACCTCATTTTGAGAGCCTTGAGCTCCTATTGCTAGCATAATTACCATCCATATAGAGAAGCTCCCAACCTCAAGCAAATCATGCAGCTTTAAACACCTGAAAGCAACACCAAGACTGACTTGGAATAGCAGCAGTAAAGAGCAGCTGCCAGAGTGTGATGGAGAAGCCACCAAAAGTGTAGTTAGGTACAGCATACCCACACCTTCAGCAAACACCAAGACTAAGCATCCTCAAACTGATTGCCACACTCTAGCATGGAAGGAGAGCAGCTGCTAGGATGACTCCCAGCTAAACACCATAGCATAACCACAACCAACTTAACAGACCAAACATAGCAGTACATTGACTTCTTCAATTATCACCTACCAATTCAGCATTCCAAAGATTAGCATTAGGCTTGAATCCCTCCAATAGAACATAATGTTCTCTGTAACAACCCAAACCAAAGCAACACACTTCACCCATCAGCACTGCTAATCATAGCAGATTCAGGACACAAACAGAACAGAGCAGATTCACACATACAGAATAGATCGGATTTAGCCCAGATCAGTCCCAAAAAGCAAAATCCATTTCCTTTGATTAGACCATGATAACTTGGGCTGCAGAAAAGCCTAGAGACACAGATGCAACTCAAATGCAAGACAGATTAGTCCAACATTCAGACTAGATGCAGAACTTGGGCTGCAGAATACTCAGCATTTCAAAGTTGGTTGAGTGCACACCATACAGCAGCAAGCAAAGTCACATAAGTCCCAGGAAAATCAAATCCAGACCGAATCAACCCCTTAGACAAAATCTAACCTGCTTGAGATTATACACAATATCATTAATTGAGTAAGTAAAGGAGGGGTTAGAAATTCTGACCCATACAGCTACCCTGACCTTTATTGAATCACATAGCCCTTCAAAATTCACCGGCGAGCCCTTAAAAATGCTTTCATTCCTCTGCTTCCAAATAGACCAAAACACCGCCAATGGTATAGCTTTCCAGATGGATAACTCATTTTTTTTTTTAGTTTTAATCCAATCCACCACTGTAGCAAACCAGACACGGATCCAGGCATTGCCCAATAAACACCCCCCAACGGATAATATTTGACCAAATCCTCCAAATAAATGGGCAAGATAGCAGCACATGATTTATATCCTCTACTTCATCCCTGTAGAAAATATAGTTAATGTCTGAAGCAGCATTAAGGACACCTAGTCTTTGAAGATAGCTGGCTGTCTTAATTCTCTCATTCCATGCTAACCACCCAAAGAACTGCACCTTAGGTGGAGCCAAATTCTTCCATATATACCCTACTAAGTTACTACTAGCTTCAATAGATGCTGCACTCCACTCATAGGCATAAGACACAGTAAAAACCCCAGAATTTTTTGCATTCCATTTCAACCTATCCACCATCTCATCCCGAATAGCTGGAGCATTAATAAGCATTATTCTCAGTCTACACAAATCTTCTAGTTCCCACTGGAACAAGGCTCTCCTGAACACCAGCTTCCACTCTTCATTTCCATTTCTCCTACTGCTTAACATTTCCACAGATTCATTTTTGTCAAGGGACACAGAATATAGTCTTGGAAATTCATCTTTGAGACATACGTTACCAACCCAATTATGAAGCCAGAACTTGATGTTCCTTCCATCACCTACAATAAGGGAGATATTAATTTTGAAGAATTCCACCAACTGAGGCCAATGGGCAGCAATCCCCTGGATATCTCTCCAGACCAGAGATAACCTTGGACCCTCAACAGGTAGTGGCCACCACCCCCCTCCAACCTCACCATATTTGCTGCAAATAACTTTTTTCCAAAGAGCATTAGTTTCAGATCCAAATCTCCACCACCACTTCAAGAGAAGACAAGCATTCATAAGCCTCACTTTTCTTATACCTAAACCCCCAGAACTTTTGCTTTATGTTACTTCCCCTCATTTTACAAGATGAATTTTCCTTCTTAGAGCATCACCTCCTCATAAAAATCTGGATTGGATTTTGTCAATCTCCTTAGCAACCCCTTCAGGCATCTTGAACAAAGATAGATAATATGTTGGTAAGGATGATAGCACAGACTTTATCATAGTCAACTTACCAGCAAAAGATAAGAACCTCCTTTTCCAAGAAGCCAACTTCTGGTTAACTTTATCAATTATTGGTTTCCAAGTCCGTCTTCTCCTTGGATTACCCCCCAAGGGCATACCCAAATAATTTAAAGGCAAATTTTAATGAACACAATTCAGCATGGAAGCACATTCCTTAGATAGCTCATCAGTAAGCCCAATCCCACACACCATACTCTTATAATAATTAATCTTCAGCCCAGACACTATTTCAAAGAACCTCAGAATCCTTTTAACAGTAAGAACCTTCTCCCTATCTGTTTCACAAAAAATTATTGTGTCATCCGCAAACTGCAAATGAGTAATGCTGAGATCAATTGAACCAACCACTGCACCTTTAATCAAGCCCATCAGCCTAGCTCTGGTCATCAATATGTTCAAGCCCTCTGCCACGATATTAAAAAGAAAAGGTGATAATGGATCACCTTGCCTAAGCCCCTTTTGAGGACTAAATTCGGATGTCGGTGATCTATTAACCAAAATGGAGATCTTAGCCGATGAGACACATTCTTGCATCCACTTAATCCATTTAGAGCCAAACCCAAAGCTTGCAAGCATAGAGAAGAGAAATTCCCAATTGATTGCATCCACTTAATCCATTTAGAACCAAACCCAAAATTTGCAAGCATAGAGAAAAGAAATTCCCAATTAATTGAATCGCATGCTTTCTCAAAATCCAACTTCAAAACAATATCTTTCCTCTTATTCTTCTTCCAACCATCAACAATTTCATTTGCAATCAGCACTCCATCCAAGATACTTCTACCTCCTATAAAAGCTGATTGAGATTCACTAATAATCCTTGGCACTATAAGTTTGATTCTGTTTGACAAAACTTTTGCAAGCACTTTGTAAAGCGAACCAATGAGACTAATAGGCTTGTAGTCACTGAGGCAAATAGGATTATCATTTTTAGGAATCAACGCAACAAAAGAGCTATTAATTTCATGCACCAGTTTAGAGTTTTGATGAAACTCACTCATAAACTGCATCACATCCCCTTTTATTGACTGCCAGCACTTCTGAAACAACATCAAGTTGAACCCATCAGGCCCAGGAGCCTTGTTTCCATCACAGGTTTTAACTGCTGCTAACACTTTTGATTCTAAAAACTCCGCTTCTAAAGCAGCTCTAACCTCATCTCCTCCAATGGATTGAAAGTGGCCAGATAAACTTGGTCTACTGAACCAGGATTCAGAAAAAAGCTTTCTGTAATGAAGCAATACCTCAGCCCTTATATCAGTTGGATTCTCTTTTATAACCCCATTAACAGAAAGCGAGCACAAAGCATTTATATTATTTCTAGATGCAGCCATCACATGAAAGAATTTTGTGTTTTTATCACCTTTCAAGACCCAGTTAACTCTAGATTTTTGCAATCAAACCCATTCCACCATAGTACTTAACTTCCATGCTTCCTCTTTAGCCTCTCTTCTTCTGTTCAACTCTGCCTTTGACAGTGGCCTTTCCTCAGCTGTTAGATCAAGAACATGTAATTCCTCCTCCAAGAGCTTGAGTTTATAATCCACATTTCCAAAAACTTCCTGGTTCCATTGTTTCAGTGCTATTCTAAGTGATTTAAGTTTCCTTAAGCACTGGAAACCAGCCCAGCTATCTACAGGAGTTTCCTTCCAAATTTTTTCCACAAAGGATTTGAAAAGAGGATGAAGGGTCCAGGCATTCAGGAATCTGAAAGGCTTTGGACCCCAATCCTTCTTATCTTCCAAGAGCAGTATAGGGCAATGATCAGATAGCCTTCTTGGTAGACCCCATAATTTGAAATTGAACTTCTGCAACCATTCTGGACTAAGCAAAAACCTGTCCAGCCTACTCCATTTATCTCCTTGTAGAGAGTTACACCAGGTAAATTTCCTTCCCAACATTGGAATATCACACACTTCCAGGTTTTCAATTAGTTCGTTGAAATCACACATACCTCTATCCCTTCTAGAACAACTCTTTCTTTCAAATATACTTCTAACTTCATTAAAATCACCCCCCAAACACCAAGGTTTTTCACCCCCTGACTTCAGCCTATGCAAAATAGCCCATACCATACTTCTGCTGGTAACATCATTTGGACCATAAACATTAACAAACACACAATCAAAGCTACCATAAAGAGTACCTGTCAAAAGGATGAAATTCCTGTTACAGCAGCAATCCACAAGTTGAAAAACATCTGGGTTCCAAATGCAAAGCAAGCCACCAGCTGCTCCAACTGAATCTACTGCCATGAACTCCATCTTCTCAACCGGCCAACATGATCTAACAAACTCTTCATCAATTGATGTCCTCTTAGTTTCTTGAAGCAGCGCCATATCTACCTTTCTCTCAACAAATAATTTTTTTGACTTTCTTTCTTTTAATAAACTGACCAAGCCCTCTTACATTCCATGAAACTAACTTCATTAGAGACCAAATTTTCACCAAAGTAGTGGGTCATCTAAATCAGTTGGCTTGACCACCCCTTTTCACCATTTTTTCTTTATCATTTGACTCCAGCTTCATCAACTTGCTAATGACTTCTTCCTCATTACCTTTACATTTCAACCCAAGAGCATGCCCTAATTGGAGGGATGCCTCTGCCTCATTGAGTAGAAGCTAACCACTACTAGCTTTGCTGGCCATTGATAAGGATATTGCTGCAACAGTAGACCGAAACATTGCTCATTTCTTGAGATTCAAAGATGGTCCATCCCCTAAGTGAAGAGATCCTTTCCTCTTACCTTGAAAGTTCAGCGTCCCTTTTGCTTTTCCTTTCTTGTTCACTGTTCTTTTTGGAGCTGGCATTACAGGCTTATTCTTGGCCACTCTATTCTTCTCCTTCTCGATTCTGAATTGGGCTTCCAGCACTCCTTCGTTATGAGCAAAATTATCCTTTGTGGGCTGGAACTCTGATATACCTTCCCCAGACAAACTGTGGCCCAAAAAATTTCCACTCTTATCTTGGGCCTTACCTAATAAAACTTCAATGTTAAGCCCAGCTCTATGCCTCTCAGACCCACTTAGACTTCTCATAAAGCCCGGAGTAACAACTTCTTCAGCCTCAACATTTTGAAGTTGCATAGAGTTTTGCACTAGTGTATCTGACCTTCCCTTGCATGCGTCCCCATTGTTTTTCTTTCCCAAGTTGATGTCAGTCTCTGTAACCATAGACCTGCTCTGCCACCTATCTAGATCAGTAGTATCATTATGCCCTTCATGCCTTGTCCCAGACCCTGCTACCTCCACAGCACCTTCTCTGTCCAGCTCACCTCAGACCTGCCTTTCCACCTCAGTTTCATCCTCAACCTTCTTGCTCTCCACTTCTAACCTCCAATCCTTTCCTTCACCATTGGAGCTGCGATTATCCCCTTTTTTTCTGCAGATTGTAACACTTACAATGTTGATACAGCATCTCTGATCTAGCCACCTGATCTTTACATACTGTTACTGGGTAAATTGTCCCCTTGCAGCTTAAGTTAATAATTGTATTAATGAACTCCATACATTTTGTGGCTACCTGTACCCTTCCACAGTGGAATCAGTGCATTCTAAGTGTATCATCATCCATGCCAATGACTTCCCCCCACAACCTCCCGATATTATTGAACGTTTTACTATTCCATAGATTGAGAGGCACACCATAACATGTAAGCCAAATCAGCCTCTCCTGATCGATAGCCATCCCCTGTTTCCATTCTTTGACTGACTCACTCCACTCAGAAAGCCAACCCTCCATTTGTTTTGTTTTCTCTTTCATGCCGTCTACTGAGTCGAAAGTCAGAACTAGATCTCTACCTCCTCCGTGTCTAACCTGAATGTCACCCCTTCCTCTAATCTGCAGCTCCTCTTTAAACTCTGCCACACAACTTGATGGCTTAAGTCTAACAATCACACTGTTATAGAGCTGACTAATGCCTTCCTCAGAAGCATTTATAGTCATGGTAGTACTGATCTCAAGCCCTCTTCCACTGACAGCTTGTGCATATGACTTCCCCCTTTGGACCATACCTGGAGCTCTACTAGTATTACCAATCGCCCTCCATTCAGTTGGAACTCTGCTAATATGACCAAGCTCCCTCCATCCAATTGATGCTTTTGATAGCCTCTGATGTTTTCCTTACCTTTGGCAAAATCCGCTACTTTTACTTTTAATGCTTTGTTGTCACACCAGAGTCCATGAGCTTTCTGGATTGCCATCTTTGCTGCTGACAAACATAACGTACAAAACCAAATCTGGATCGTGTCAACTTCCGTCTTGTGTTTGGGATGTACACATCCTTTACAATCCCAAAATTGGTGAAGACTTTAAACAACCCTTTTGGATCCATTGATTCTGGCAGATTATCCACAAAAATCGTGTGAATATCAGTATCCATTCCTCTGCTCTTGTAACCTTGATCACCATGCTTTCTCAACACCGGCTTCCAACCTCCTTGATTCACCTCCATAACTTGAGTGAAATATATATATGTGTGTGTGTATGACTATGTGTTGTGTCATATATGATAGCTCTTAGTAATGAATGATATTATCATTATCATTATATTTAATACTTACTTGTGTTGAACGTATACAGATATATAGATAATTATATATATATACATATTGTTTATGAATATAATTGTGAAGAGTTATTCCATATTATCTCCCTAGGCTATTTAAACTTAGGGCTGGTTTGGGGTACACTATATAATCTATTTTTTTATCTTTTTATCTTTTTTCCATCCATCACATCAGTTCTCTACTTTTCTGTAATCACTTGTGTTGAACGTATACAGATATATAGATAATTATATATATATACATATTGTTTATGAATATAATTGTGAAGAGTTATTCCATATTATCTCCCTAGGCTATTTAAACTTAGGGCTGGTTTGGGGTACACTATATAATCTATTTTTTTTATCTTTTTATCTTTTTTTCATCACATCACTTCTCTACTTTTCTGCAATCTTTTCGTAAAAAGACAAAAAGTACACTTTTTTAGGACACTCCAAACCAACCCATAGTTTGGAAGTCCTTCTACTTAGTACTAATTAGTTTTAGGTTGAATATCTTCAAAAAAAAAAAAAAAAAAACAAAAAAAAAAAAAAAAAGAAAAAAAAAAGAAAAGAAAATCTAACATGATATGAGAACCAAATTTTGGGTAGTCTCACAGGGCCAAGTCTTTGTTCTGGATTTATTTCTCTTGTCTCGCTCATCTCCCTGTCATTTCCATGAATGATCGGATCGCATAAGTGAGATAGTGTTAAACACTGGTTGAGTTGGGTTGGATGCTTATTGTTTGAGAACTGTGAATTTTAATAAAAAAGTTAAAAAGTTATTATAAGTTGCCATATCATTTTTTTTATTTTTTTTATATATAAAAATAATTATTTTTTATTGAACATAATTTATGTAAAAATAAATTATTTACTATAAAAAAAAGAGACCACTTTTGGCTACTAAACACAATTTTAGTCGCTAATTTTATACTTTTGGCTACTAATTATTTTTTGGTCGTTAAAAAATTTAATTCCCGCGTTAAAATTATCACTTTTGGCGACTAAAATTCCTTTTAGTGGCCAAAAAGCCTCACTTTTGGCTACTAAACATCTTTTTACTTGTCCAATGCCTCACTTTTGGCTACTAAATTATTTTTAGTCGCCAAAAAGCCTTACTTTTGGCTACTAAAATTTTTTAATCAATAAAAGCCTCACTTTGGCCACCAAACATCATTTTAGTCGCCCAATGCCTCACTTTTGGTTACTAAATTATTTTTAGTCGCCAAAAAGCCTTACTTTTGGCTACTAAAATTTTTTTAGTCGGTAAAAACCATATATCAGCGACCAAACAGATTTTTAGTCGCCAAAACTTATACTTTTGGCTACTAAATTTTTTTAGTCACCAAAAATCTTTACTTTTGGCTACTAATGCCTTTTTAGTCGCCAAAATCTATGCTTTCAGCGACCAACGGTGCTTTTTTAGTCGCCAAAGATGTTTTTTCTTGTAGTGATGCTCTCTCTAATTCAATTAAGCTTGATCCATATAATTTAAAGGATTTTACACTAAATACTAATTAATTTTGAGTTGTACGCCTCTGAAAAATAAAACAAATATGGCTCCATTTGGAAATAGACTACTTTAATTAGTTTTTTTGGTTTTAGTTAAAAAAATTGTGCTTGGAATGATATTATTTTTTGCTTTTGATATGATTGTTGTGAGAGAAAAGTAAATAATTATATTTTATTTTATTAACTTTAGTGTATGAGTCTTTTAGCCAAATAGTCTCTAAGCCAAATAGGGCCATTAACGGTTTGAAGCCACAAGGTGGTGAGGAAAAATTATTACAAACAGGAAGATACCACGTGATAATACATTTTTTTTTTTATTGAAAAAGAAATTTTATAGTTGAAAATCAATGAACAATATATATAGAGATAAACATCAATAAAAAAAAGGCAACTGTAATCATTTGCTAATACTACACCAAGTTGGTGAAGGACCAACTGAAACAAAACAAAACCATCACAACGAAACCAAAAGCCTCTAGCAATAGGCTCCTCTCCTCAGTAGATTGTGTTTGGTTTGCAGATTTGGAAAGGATTTTTTTTGATAAAAAGAAAAAAGTGTCTAAAAAATATAATTATATTTTATTTATATTTTACCTATCTTTTTTCTCTTTTCAAATCTCTATCTCAATTTATAAACTAAACACAATATTAGAGAAACAACAGCTAAGGTAATCTCAGCAAACCAAAAACAAAACAGAGCAAAACAGCAGCAGTAGCTACTCTAACTCAAAACTAAAACTTCATTTTTAAACTCAGTAATGTGATAACCTATTAAAATATTTCAGGTAAATTTTGTCACTGATATTTTTTAATCATCAATCAATCATCTTTCTTACACATCATTAAATTAAAAAATATGCTCGTATGAATGAATCAAGTTCTTCTCTTTTTTACCAAGGAAAAGAAAATAAACCATTTTGGAACTGCCTGGGAGCTATATGCAGCCGTGCGAACTGCTTCAGTGTGGTTTGGGTGTTGTTCAGGTTGCCTTGGGTTACAGTGGGACAAATTGTTTTGGGGTTCAAGTGTTTTAGTTTGCAGTTAAAATCTACTTAACTATTTATCAGGTTTGTTTTCAGTTTTTTAAAAATACTTTTTAAAAAATTTTGCTTTTTTATTATCCGTAATTTTTTTGTTTTTACTGAATTTTTTTTAATATTTTAAGTAATTTTTTTTAAAAAAATTTTAGATATACCTAACATAAATACATTTAAAAAGTATAATTTTTGTGTAAATTTTTTTAAAAAATTCACTAAATACCAAAAATACAAAAAAAA